ATCTATATCTGCTTGCAAACTTGAAAAGTCATGAATTAATAGCATTCTGTAATTAGATTGCATCAACTACTGAAAAATATTTAAAAATATAACTTCTAGAGTCATGTTAACRTAACTTAAGACTCAGAATATACCCGCTAGTAGATATTTGTTCATACAACATAACCAAAGTTCATACTGTACTTTTTTTTCCTGCCCTTTTGAGTTTTCCCCAGAGAACACCTATTGTATATTTCTACTGCCTATTCTATACACCAGCTGTGTTTATGCTGCCAGATGTTGCACCAGAAATGTCAGCTGCTGCTTGAGGCACGGAGTGAATGCAATTAGAGGTGCCCTGGTGACAGCTTGACACTTATGGTGGAAATGYTTAAATTTTTAATCAGGCATGTAACACAAAAACCCACACAACTTGGATTCTTCCTGAAAACTGGACCAGCATTACACTAACATCTTCTTTTATCAGGGAGATGGAAAGATCAGTGTGTCAGCAGAAGCACAAATGGATKGGCTAGTCTTTGCAAACTATCTGAAGCGAGTTTCTGAAGTGYATTCCGCAAGCAGCAGCTGTGACGAGATCGACTTTCCAGGGCAGTAATGAATGCTGTTGGTTTAAAGTAGCTAATTGCTTTTATACTGAGATATTAGTTAACATAAATATACAAAATATATAAAATGATAGGCATGAATACTATTTTTACTACTTATGTGGTTAGTTCCTAGTTATTACATTTCTATCACTCAATTTCTACTAATATGCCAAATGCTTTTTCAAGTAAACTGTGTAAAATCTGCATATGAACTATAATTTAAAAACTTTAGAAACAATCATTAAGCATAATGCATCACATACTCTGTGTGACTTAGTTAACRCAGCCATGAGAAGCAGGAAAACCAAAAAACCATACCAAGTTGAAACTAAATGTAGTCTGCTCCTAGGGCTACATGAGCAGATCCCAACCCAACATCAGATTCATTTTGAGTACACCATTTTTAGTTAACTGCAAGATTGCTTTCTTCTTTTTCTCTCTTACAAATTACACATCCAAGTGTGGCCTGTGTTTGTTCATCGAGCAGAAATTTTTTAACTCTATCCTGCATTTGSATTACTTTACAGTGCAGCTTAAAGAGTTAGCAAGAGAACAAATAATACTGGCTACCTCAGTGCATGATCTATTATAGGTTAAAGTATCTTACTGAAAGATGTCTGAAATACTGTATGCATGTACCAGAACTGCGAAGTTAGTCTTGACAGCAACTTAGTTCTACCTGGTCATTTAGGACAAGTAAATGGTAATTCATGCTGTAGGAATAATTTGGGGTAAGGGCCAAGATTTTGGCCAAAGGGTTGAATTTATAAATATTTATTCTTGTGAAAAATACCACGGGCTCATGGGCTCAAAGTAATTCTGACTCTATTCTCTCTTGAAAAGACAGGTTTTCCAGAAACTGCTGGGCCAGAGCGATGAACATATTAGTTGGAATGACAGACATGATCTATATTTTCTCTTCACGTAAAAGTGATCACAAGTAGTTCTCTTCTGCATGCCAGTGGGTTGATCTAAATCTCAGGCTTATTTTGCATTTAGATAAATATGGAACATATCTGAATGTGGACAGTAGCATCCKTTTAACCTTTTGCCTACCAGCTCTGGAAGGGATGAGTCTCTTGTGACATTTACAGATGGTATAAGTGCCTACAAACTTGCATTGTCATTCCTACCTCATCTCCCATAAAAATGTGCTCCACTTGGAGACTGTCCTCTCCATTTACCCCTCACATAGATGATTTTCAAAGGATATTAAATAATGAAAGCAAAAGGGTCATCAAGAATCCCAGAGTCAGGATATCATAGCTACCTATCTCACTTGTGAGACATTGAAAAAGGATAAATCAACAAAGGAAACTTTACACCTGACTGAAAAGAAAATTCAGTCTCTTTTATTGGAGTGATCTACATTTTCAGTTTATTTCTTTAGAGCATCTATGCATGCGATCACGTATTACATGTGGTCTGGATGTGTCTGGCTATGACAGGGCCAACACACTCATCCTATCCAGAAGAAATATATGCAGAAAAGCAGGATGGTCATAAAATGACTTGTGCTATGCCACTAAATTAGCATTCACTCTTAGAGCTTTATTTTCAATTTCAAATCTTCACTATTTAGTTTTATTTTYATTATTTTTTCACTCTTTAAAAATCTTATCCCTATTTTTTTCTCCATTATTTTATTATTTTTATTTTTTCATTAAAATGTTCATTATTTTAATRATTTGTTTCTTGGTTTGGGATTCCCTCATTCTTCACTACTGTATAAACTGAGCACCAAACCTGGCAGAACTTCCAAGGCAGAGTGGTGTGGTGCAGTTGAAGAATGTGAGTGTGAATGCATTGGGGAATAKCTACAAAACATTATCACTTTTTCTAGAGTCAGACCTCTCTCAGCTACATGGTCTTGACATTGTGCCTGAAGTTATGCCAACTCTTGTGAATTCATTTCAGATTCACTTTCTCATTTCATGCCACCAAGTGAACACTTCGCTCCCTGCATTCACCACTTCTTGGGAATTTCACTGGGAATTTCACTGGGAATTTCACTGTGCTGTGCTTGCCAACAAGCCACTGCAGTGCACTTCTCCCTTCCTGCAGTGAGGAATATGGGTTTGAAATCACAGTGTGGGTAGCTCTCTAAGTTTTCCTCTCTCCGACAGTTTCCCATTAAAAAGACAGGACTCACACAATCGAATATCCACATATGAGCTGCTGATAGTCAAAGAGGAATGAACCAACAACCACACCAAACTCAGGGAAGGTAAAAAGTTTCTTTCAGTCCAACAGTTGCTGCCTAYTGCCTCTAGATATGTTCTGTGGTCAAAGCCACAGGCAATTTTCTCATCTCACCTGGGAGCAAGCCTCGTTTCAGTGGAAGCAGTATATCGTATGTGAAAAAAAAAAACCTCCTGGCAGTTAAAATTCTTCACAAGTACTCAGAATGATGAATAATCTCAGAAATAGGAGAAGTAAAAATAATGAGAAATAATCTAGACACTACCTGATCACAGAGCTTATTTTAMAGCTAAGTGTTATGCAGCACTGTTGTTGAGCTCCGGGGATGGGGAAGGGAGTGTACTAAGAATGTACATACTTCCTTCAGGATTATAATTAAATTTAGAAATGAATGTGATTATAAAACGTACATGCTAGGGTTTAATTGTAGGTCAGGTTCATATGTTAAAAAAGATTGCTAGCCTAGATTTTAAAAGCATTAGCTCAAGTCATGTAGCATAACCTAATTTTGATCATTCTGGGTTTAGAAAATGTACAATTACTGATGCTGGCAGAAAGTCACACCAAGGGCAGATGAGATTAGTAAGAAATAAACCTGCATGTCGGTAGCAAAATAGAAACTGAAATGAATAATCAAATTGGCAGAACATTCATGCAGCCTAGGCAGCAAAGTCCAAATAAATGGTCTTGAAAGCCACAAGAAAACTCTCTATTGAGCACCTAAATCATCAATTTGAAGAAGTTTTGTGTGCAGAATGTTTCAATAAGCTTCATAATACTTAAAATATAAAGTGATTTCATAGCTTTCACTGCTGACCTTAGTAAAATCTGCAAAGATCACAAAGTAAGAAAAAATTTATTTGAAACCACTGGGCATATGTATTAATAGGGAGGATTCGTTGTACGTTCATTTTCTACACTGCCCAAATTTCAGAGACTTTGTCAGCATCTCTCCTGGTGGAAGCAGGACAGAATTCTAGGATGTGAAGCTGAATAGTTGCAGTAACGCTCTCATGTCCTTGGATGCTGGGTTATGACTCCTATAGGCAGTAGTACATATAAAGGAAACATAATAACGAGCAATCTCTGGCACTGAAAACACCAACTACTGCAGCACAGATRGTGATTTGTCATCAGTAAACTGCTCTTAATACACTTACATACAGCAGCACCCATGTTCAATTAAAAACATTTAAAGAAAAKAAATATTTTTCATTTTTCTGTAAAGGCTTTCTTTATTTCCTCCCCAGTGTCCTCCAAAGAAGCGTGCATTTCAAGAACACAGGCAGAATATCTACACATGTACCAAGCATTCACTGAAAGGAAGGGAGATAATACACAGCACCTACGTAATTGATCAAAACCTGTATCCTGAAAATTCCTCTTCTGTTCCCATCAGTGGCAGCATGACAATGCATATTAGCATGAGCATAAATAAAAGGCTCAAATAAAAGTAAATACCTGCTCTGGATGGAAGTGAGACTTAAGCCCTGCTTAAGCACATTATCATAGGTTTAGGAAGACCATAGGCTTGACAAAAGAGATATTATCTCTTTAAACCTTGCCCCTGCACCTGCCATATCAATACATTTTAGACACTTTGCATTCACTTCTACACTCTTGCCATAAAAGATTTATTGAGTAGGACATTATGTTGGAAATAACATAGATGTAAATTATTTATATGCACTGCGTAATTATTTCAATGCTTAGGGTTAAGAAAGAAGGAGAAACTTTGAACTGTTTTCAAACTTTTAAAGTACTTCTCACTGTGCCTAAGCTGACAGATAAAGGAAGACAGGGATCTAGTTAGGTCACTGGAAAGAGTACCAAGAGCTTCAGCAAATAGTGGAGCAGGTAACTAGAAGAAAATGTAGGTGCAGAAATAYGGATTGCACTCAGTAGAAATTAGGCTATTCAAACCCAGGACTTGATATTTTGCACTGCACAGCACACTGTATGAAATTTTGTGGCCTACTTGTGCATAAGGTTGAACAAGATGATGCTAATGGCCCATTTTGGCCTTCAATCTGTGTGTCTGATTTTCCTTGAGGCTACATTTTTGCACTGCTCTGGCCTATATTTAGGCATGCTTAAAAGCATTTTTTTTACTGCTACAACAGAGTGAAGGAGTTTCAGAGTAAACAAACCATACCCCCAGATTCTATACAGCTTTAAAGTGAAATTTTTTAAAGGAAGATATCTTACTTCTTTTTCCATTTGAAGTCCTTCTGCTCTGATATTTCTCTCAAATAYTTCCCTCTTCTCTGTCTGCAGATTAGATTTTCTATACACAAGAATGTAGTCAATCCGACACTTTCCATCTCTAAAATACAGTCCACTGGTTTTGTTCTTATCAGGTACTTCCTGTAAAGAGAAAATCAAGTAACTTAGTGATGTTAATTTGCCTTGGCAATTGCTGCACGGTTGTTTGGACCCTCAATTTTCAGTAATACYCAACAGGAAAGATGAGGAATCAGAATAAGCTGTTCAAGTTTTAGGCTGTTTACATTCAGTGCTTCTGACTTCATCTGAGAGGAGCACAGATTTCCCTGCTTAGGGGTGGAAATGTTTGTACAWATAGGCATGGGATAGAATAGAAAACATGACCAAATCTTCCTTCCCCACCACCCTCTGTAAGGTTTGGAATAATTTCTTACTCATAAAATAGAGCAGATAATAGTGTTACTGAAGCATAAATTTAAAATSAAGAATTTAATATGGCTAAATGTACATGTGAAAAGAGTAAACAATGTCACGAACATTTACTGCAGTGAGAAATGCTAAAGCCTGGCATGCAGATTCTCATTGCTTTGCCTCATAGGGCACAGACAACAATGTGAAGATTCTGTCCCRACCTCATCAAACTAACTACAGAATATTCCTTGCTTAAGTAATAGCTGATGATTAATTTATTTGGAAAGAATTACTAGTGTTTGGTCTAGCAGTACACAAATGCAATAAATACTATTTCTTTTCTATTTCCGCAAAAACTCCAAACAAACAAAAAAAAGCCTGCTCAAATGTTTGGTCTGACAGAAAAAAAACAAACTTGATTTCACTGTTAATAGGAGGTCAAACAGGTCTCACTCTCCTGAGATATAAAAGACCAGACTACTGATCTTTTTCCAGTAAGTTATGAGATGAAATTCTCTACAGAGCTTCCTCACAATTTAACACTATTTCTACATAACACAAGTCGTGCCCAGGGGTTAAGTTTCAGACAAGTAAAAATTGTATGGTAATTTTCAGGCTGGAGTGTTTTGTACAGGAAATGCACACTGTGAATGATACATGGGAACAAACAGCATTCCCTCTGAGCAGTAAAAAGGGCAGGGACCTTCAGGAACCTCAAGATCAGTCCAGCTCTCAGCTGAAGGTAAGGTTAAGTAAATTTACCTCTATTTTTCCAAAACTCACTCCACTATTCCTGCCAAAAATAGCCCCACTCTATAATATACAATCAAGTCTCTGAAAYAGAAAGAATATTTTGCCTTTCAATCTGGAATAAGGAGCGAATTTTCAAAATACTTTCTCCATAGRAGAATTACTTCAGAATTTAAATCACAAAGTGAACATTACAATAGGAAAGGTTATTTTTACAGAAAAAGCCAACAAAATAAATTTTCCCATTCAAAGAGTTTCGTGTAAGCTATCTTTCTGATTTCCATCTTGATTAAATGGAAAAACCAATGAAAGCATTCCAAATGTCCCATCCCGCTGGTACATCCAGTTCACTAAAGGAAGAAGAGAATTTTCCTAACATTCTTTTATTACAGTGTCTGACTCCTGACACAACTYAGTGCAGACTTGATACAGTGGAACAGTTTACAGCCCAAAAATAGGCAAGAAAAAAGATTTAATCTCCAAGGGAAAAACAGTAACAAACTATATCTATACTGCAGATCATGCTGATAAATTATATTATGAAGACATGAGAAGTATTTTTCATAGAACATTAAATGTGAAAACAGCTCAAGAGGCATATTTTATCTTYTTCCATTAAAAATCTATGTTGAGAAGACATTAAACTAAACCCCAGTGAACCAAAGGGTATTTAAGGTTATTTAAATAAAGGAAGGGTGTAGTAGGAGATTTAGAGGCCGTGGGTCACTAGGTGGTCCTATTGTGATTTCTAACCCTCYTGGAAAGTCTCCTGTTCAGTAGCCAGAGCCACCATGCTCTTCAGCAAGTAGGAAAGGARCTGTGGAACAAAATCATCCATGGTGACGATCTGCTGTCCATGCTGTGTAGGCTGAAGGGCTCAYGTTGGGCCCACTGTAGTCTGGGCCAGAAGACTCACTGGGTTTATATCCATAAGGAATCCAGGCTGAAAATCCAACACTGCTCTGGGCTGCAAAGAAATCATGGGAAGGGGCAATGGAGAAATTTGTTTCAAATATACATCCTCACCTGAGCTCAGACCTGTCCTGAGAGTACCGTTAAGGAAAGTGTCCTTCTCTGCATGCAGTAGTGACTACACCAGGAAAAAAGATCTGCCCCTTCCTATGTTTCTCCTTTCTCTGAAGAAAATTGGTTTGCCTGCACTGGCTCATCAGTGAATGCAGAACCTTGTATTAAAGAGTACCCATGAGATTTAGCCAAGCTATTTGACTTGTTGGACTACAAATGACTTCCTGAGACAATTTCTTTCTCTTGGACTTGTGAAACACTAACAGCTACAGCACTGTAATTGCTCACTCAGAGAAGGTGTCAGAGAGGGTGTCAGAGAGACACCCCTATCTGTATTTGGAGGTCCTTTTCAATTTAGGAACACTCTATGTCAAATCCAGGCTGATAAACCCTATTAGACTGTGGTGGCCTCYGGAAAGGAACCCCTTCTCTGGCCCTCTGTTACAGACTGTAAGGCAACTTTATAGACTGAGTCTGGACTTGCAAGAACTCTTGATCTAATATGATTTAGACACAGTCTGGGCTGGTTCAGMAGTGTCAGCTGCAGGACTTCTGCATTATCCAAGTATTACAGGTTTATGCTATTCCAGACAGAAATTTATTCCTCCAGATATTGCATCTCCCTTACCTCTGTTACAACATCAAAATTAAGTTTTCCTAAACTGATAAAAAAAAAACCTATAAATAGAACTATCGAAGTCTGACTGCTGTTTTTGGTGAAAAAGTGGTGTAGTCACATATGCCAAACCTCCATTCCTTCATCTGAAAAAGGATGCTGGAAGAAAGCAGAACAGTGAAAACTTCACTCTAACAAGAAGCTTAGCATTTCTGTCTATCTCTATGACTGCATTGGTAATGTGTGTTGTGYATTTTGGACTTGTTTTCCAAGGAATGCAGTAGTTTTTATATTCTCAGGGGCTGAGTTGGGAACCATTAGCATTCACAGACACAGCACTCACACACACACACCAGGAGAGCTTTATGCAAAGGGCTTGCTTGTATATATCCATATGACCCATACAACATCTAAACAGTGTCTCTTTTCCTTCTAGAGTTTAGCAGGAACCAAGTACTTTGAAACTTCTGTTTTCCTAGGCCGTAGCATCCCTAAAGTCCCACTAGGACTTCTAATTTTCATCTTTTTTTCCCCATCTTACACATGATCTACATTGCTATTTTCCTCAGTTATGGTTATGAAAACAAAAAACCCTTAAATCTATTCCTCAGAAGTTTTCCCTTTCCCTTTAAAAAAAAAAAAAMMAAAAAAACAAACAATACATCTAAGATTTTAAAAAGAGTCTGAAGTATTGTTTTTGCAATATTGTTATACTAACAGCAGCATGTCTTTCTGATAATTTTCTGCTAATTTTTCTTCTTTAACTTATAAAAATCATGTGCCTTTCACCTGTGCTTTTTTGCTAAAGACCATATGGTAGATGGTCCCAAAATGCAACATGGTAGTATCATGCCAGMTTAACCTATCATGGTGCAAACAGGCAAAGAGAATCCTTTGTAATTGTATGGGAAGCTGGGGAAGAGCTGTGAGTAAGGAAGATGAAACTGTGAGCAAGGTCAAACATATATTCAGGGTGCCCTGAATTTTGTTGCTTTAATTATCTTTCTAAACAGTCGAGGAGTGCAGCTCTCTATGGCCTGAACTTCTAGAACAAAGAAAATATCTGATTCTGTCCTCGGCAGTGTTGCACAAAAGAACTTGCACCACAAAACCCTCTAGCTCCTGAAAAAGACATAATCCCTAATTGCATCTCCTAAACTCTATCAAAACTAGTAAACAAAAGCAGGTCAGGGCAGGGCCCTCAGCAATGTCCTGTGGTTTTCCACTCTTTTTAATTGCTAGCATGGTCCCTGCCAGTTCTGATCTGAGCCAGTCAGCCCTCTGCCAAAAACTCCTCAGGCACAACTTGCAGGTAACATCAGACCAGTCCAGTAAGAAGTGTAGRTGTAGCCACATTTCTGAGGTGGAGGAAAGGAGAGAAGTCCCTGGTCTCTTCACCTGCTGAGGGAACAACTCTAACATCCATGGGTTGCAGGGCAGTGGAAGGCAAAATGAAAGGGCATATTGTTCCTTTCTGCACAAAAGATATGAAAAGAAATGTAGGCCCAAATTTTCATCATGGCTCCATGACTCTTTGCCTGCTTTAAGACACAATTTAAAAGGGACTGTGTAGAATGCCTTCTCCCTGGTATGTTCTCTGAATCACCATTATTCACCATCAGGGCACTTGTTCTTCACTGGAAGGGAATGTGTCTCATAATTGACAGCCAAAGTTTCYTATGGGAGTTTTGTAATAAATTCCTTCCACACTCTTTCCCCTTAAAGGATTAACAYAGGGAAAACTTTTCCAGCATTTTCAGAAGCAGTGAAGCCTTAGATGTGCACAGATGTTTCACTGCAGGTGCATGAAATCAAAACTTTTGATTTTGAGATATTTTATATTTCAGCATCATAATCTTAAAAAGGAAAATCAATTCTCATGGGAAAGATTAGACACAAATTGATAGCAGAGAATGAGATTTTAAATCAAACTACATTTACTGCCTCTCTATAATGGGCATGAATAAGTATTGTGTTAATAATACTGTGCGTCCTTACCTCTCCCACAACTTCCAGTCTGCTGGCATCATCAGAAGTACTGGTCAAGTTACCATGGTGRAGCAGGGAATCATCATCTTTGGAAGGACTGTTCACACCTTCTAACTCATCAAAAAATATATTGACATCTTTAGCTACTAAAAAACAAACAAAAAAAAAAGATACATTTAAATCACCACTGAACCAAATGAAGACAGCCATCAACAATTTCAATTTTTAGTTCTGGTACCAGTACATACCATATTAATTTTAAAATATGATGAGCATTGTTGCAGTGTTTTCTTCACCAGTGAGCCACATAAAGATTTAGGACACCATAATACCTCTCTGATGACAAATAAGCAATCTGCTGTCACAATGAAAYAGACATTACCAATCTTCTTAGCTTCTTCATGAGCAAATGGCTTAAATGACTATTTCTGGCTTAGTATTAGTCTCTGAAAGTCCTACTATAAGGAGGCAGAATTCTTTGCTATGCAAAGCATGAAATTCGAAGTCACACAGACCTGTGGGGCAGCCAGAGGCAGAAGATCTTAAACAAATTCTGTTTCTTGAAAGGCATTGAGCAAATGAACCTGGGCAGATGTTTCTCTTTGCACAGTTTGCCATGTTTTGAAGAACATGAATCTGAAGCTTTCAGATCCACCTACCTCACAGCCCTCAGTCTTGCATGAAGCAATCACTCAAATCTACTTTTTATCAGGGTGGTAAACCAACCCTGATAAAAAGTATAGGTATTAAGGGCCTGGAGTGGCTGCCAGGGGAGGAGCAGGACAGSCAGGTTCACTCTGCACTCCATGTGCTCCAGGCCTTCTGAAAAAAGGTGATGAAGAGATGTGTGTGGGAAGAAAAATGCCTTAGCTGAGGACTGAGCTTCAGCTGTGGATGGACTTCATCTCTCCAACCTCATGCCTCACAGGCAAAATCCAAAATTATGGATTAGAAGGAATCCCCAAGGGTCCCAGCTACTGAGACTCTTCCCCTGACTGGAGTGGGACCTAATACCTAATAGTCTTGACAGAAATTTGTCTRACCTCCTATTTTTCACTTTTTTTGCAAGCTTGACTGACTTTTGGAGTAATTCTTCTTTTGTGCAATTAACTTGCACAATAGGTTGTTTTTACTTGTCCTCAGCTCCCCTAACTTAGTGACAGGCAATTGCAATTCCTGTTGGTGAGAATCTATCTTAACAGCCAAAAATCTCTAATTGCTGGCGGCAACAGTTCCACTTCTAACTACTGGCTGCATGTGTAAAAATCCATTCCCCCACTGTGAAGAGACTGGATAGCTGCCAGATATTAACAGCCACACTAACTGTTCCCATTCATCATGAGCATTTTGTGACCTCCTTTTCACCTTTCCCTTCTTCAGGGGTCATAGCCCAGTTTAAGAACCTTTTTAAAAACAGCCGATGATACCAACTCCCCAGTCTCTGCAGGTGGCCTATTTTTCACTCTCACAGGCAGGAGAAAGTTTTATCCATAAAATTCATCCTGAATACGTACCTATGTTGCAATTTAAATACACCACTCTTTCCCTATCAATCATGAGCATAAGAAATAGTTTCCTCCCTTTTTGTACATGTCTTTTACAGTATCTTAAGTCTAGTATTACATCAGTAGGTAATAAAAAAAGAAAACCCTATCAAAATATTCAAGAATCCTTCATCTTTGTTTTCATGCATAAAATAGGGAAAAGGTTAATGAAAGACATTTTACTTTTAATTGCAATTGTTTTGCTTGGAAAGCGACCATGAGTTTCAGGAACAACAGAGAAGTCCTCATGTGCAAATTAATCCACTCAAAATACCAATGTGCTAACCTAAGCAGCACACTTTTTAAGAGAGCTTCYGAGTTTCTGGTGTTGTTTTATGTGATGAGAGCTCCTCAGTGTCACTGTGGCTGCATCCAGCCTGTCCTAGGGCAAACCACAGAGGCTTTAGGAGACTTAGAAGGGAATAAACAGACTCCAATTTGCAGCACATGCAGTAGTAATATTACAGTTTCTTTTGCCACCTTCATCCATTTCAGTGCACAAAAATCATATTAGAGATGCTTATAGAAGAGATGGGAARTGCCACAAGGCAGCAAAGCTCCATGTCCTTTATTGCCCCTACCGTTTCAAAAGTCAAGACTGGAAACATTCTACCCCATCAGATAATAATTCGGATGTAGGTCATGACCAGATTTTGCATGTGTGTTCATACTAGAAGAATCTATCTCAATATTCAACAAAAAGAAGTACTGAAACAAAAAACATTTCAAATTACTTGAATATCACTGAATTGAAACCATCAGTTTCTCGTAACACATGAGTCTGTATATGATTAACACCTCAGTATAATCTGAAAACAACTGTGGGAAAAAAAACACAAAATAATTAAGTAGTGAAGTTTTCTGAAGATTATTTTAGAGATATATATCTGTGGCAGACAGGGTCAATGAAAACTGTAAAAATCAAAGTTTTGCCTGTTCACCATACTCRAGGGAATTTAAACTATCTTTGTTCTGACATTAGGACTGCCTTGGTGTAAAAGATGATACTAAAATTGCTCCTYCTTGAAGTCTTGGTACTGCTTTGGGTTGCAAACTATATGGTTTTTAAGTGAATGTTTTGAGATACAGAACTTGGTGTGTAAGTATCCTGGGGGCTTGAAACGCAGAATTACTTATGGTCTTGTGAATAGCCAAAAAAATCTCATTTTAAGGTCACTTAATAAAGTCCATCTCAGCACTGAAGAAGTCGAGGAAGCAGTGAATCTCAGCTGGTTAGTGTAATTAGCTACCAGGACTTGTCCAGATTGCTTGCAATGGAATATTGCTTATATTAGAAATACACAGATAATTGGCATGTTGGTTGGTCACTACAGAAAATACAGGTCCCCAGCACTTGCTGAGACAATTTTTCTATCCTAAATCTCGTTATATACTTTAAATAAAATAAAAAAATACTTATCTGTGAAACCAAATAGATAACTTATATAGCAATTCTTGTTTGCTTTACATTAGTAATGGTGATGGTACRTCCAAGATCACTCTCCTGCTGCTTGTAGGTAGCTCAGCCCTTCCACTCCAATGGGCTGAACACCTCCATGGCCAAATGTTGCTAAAAGTATAACCAGGGCTCCATCTTTTTTTCCCATTTCAGACCCTGACATGCATATAACCACAAATGTCCTTAACAGAATGATATATAATGGCTTTATTATACGTACAAATGCTACTTGGGAGGCAACTGGTGCTATGGTATAGTCATGCATTTTTAAGCAGTGAAATTTAACAGGAATACAGAGCAGCACATGCATTGCTACAGGAGATATTAAGAATTCTCCCTCTGGTTTTAGATCAGCTTAAATATGCAAAATCTTTTCTCCCCCTCATGCTCYATTTTGCAGAAGAAAAATCAAAATGACTTGATAACTCAGAATCTCTTGAAGAATAAAAGAAAAAATGGTGGATATACAAATATTTTTAACCCAAATATAGTAGAACTACCTATTCTGAAAATTGGATGCTAAGAAATTCTGAGCAGGAGTCCATCAATCCCAGTGGGTCCACAAGCCACTTCAGATCAAGAAGCTGAGAAAAGATGGGACTTAAAAGCAAGATAACTCCTCTAACTTTCTGAAGGTGGATATCTTGGTTTGAAAGACAGGTGCTTGCCWATGAAGGTAGGGATCCCCCTTGGAGTGGTGGATATGACCCCACTTCCCTCCAGTTTATTAYGGCTTTGAAAATCACAGGCTTTCAGGCAASAATATGGGKAAAAGGGAATAACAGTTTTTACTAATATGTATAACAAGGTGAAACAAGTAACAACAACAACAATAGCAACAACCAACCCAGCMACAAACCCAATGAMAGCCTCACACAGAGAYACACCCTCCCSTTTGGTGCAGTYAYRGTCCCAGTCGGCAGGGGCGCTKTTGGCTCCCGGCYGGGCAGGGCGGGTGCGATGATTCCCCGGTGGCTGCAGGGGGCGCTGTGGCGCGGGTCCCAGCTGGTTCAGMTCTCCCGCGTGGCCAATGRYRGACACAAAATGGCAGAGRTGGATGGAGAAAAGTTCCTCTACAAACTCACAGCAGAAACTCCGATCTCAGTGCTCCTCTGGATGGCAAGAAACCCCAGAACGGCCAGATGAGCAAAGAGACSAGCAGAATCCYSTGGCTGCAGAYWGGATGCAGCAGAACTCGAYCACTGCASCTGGAATCTCAGGGGTCCCCGGYAAGGCACAKGGACAGAAGATCACAGTGCAGCCCACAGGAACCAAGGAGCAGAGATGCTGGGCTCTGCAGAAAGCAGCAGGAGAGCTCTCCCCTGCAGGCAGCAGGTCGACCTCCTCCCCCGAGCCAAGCAGGGCAGGAAGTGAAGCTACCCCCCGC